GACTGAGAAATGTGACTTACCCAGGGTCATATGGCTAAGAAGTATCAGTGGCAAGATTCTAGCCCAGGTCTTGCTGACTCCAAGACCAAGATATAATTCATATACAGGCACATAGTAGATGAGAGTGATAGCCTTGTTAAAAAAAATTGTTTATTTCCATTTACAGTAAATCTTTTAAGCTTAGAGAATCTATGTAGTGTACTGCAGTGGGGTCAAACTCAAACAGAAAAAGGGACCACTAATTCATATACAAGGGTCCCTGAAAGCCACATATTGACTTAGTTTTAAAATGTAATATCTATGTTTTATTGTCTTTTTATTTATTTTATTAGCTATTTCTCAGTTCATTTTAATCTATGATGGCCACACACAGAGTATTGTGGGCCATATGTGTGTATTCGACACTGTGGTGTAGCAGATAGGAAGCTGACCTTGAAACCAGGAAGATCTGATTTCAAATCTTGCCCTAGCAAGAGAGGGCACTCACTTGCCCTCTACCCTAGACTAGCCCTAATGGTAGTCATCTCTAGGATGGGGGGGGGGAAGGCAGAAAATTAAAAAAAAAAAAGAAATTTACATGATAATTTTATTATATATTCAAAAGGAATAGCAAGTTGTAGTTAACAGATTTTTAGTTTCATGTCCTTGTTTTATTCCATAAACTAACTCTAGCAGTGAGACACTGTGCAAGTAACAATTTCTTAGTGCTCTAGATAAATGAAAGAAATGCTCATGTTTTTAACAATGTTCTTCTTGTGATGTGGTATGGCTAAAAATCATGAAATGACTGGTATTTGCAGAAAATTTAAAGTTGAGAGTTACAGAAACGGCATCAGAGAAGTACATAGTTCTTACAATGAAGATGTTATACATAACCAATGCAGAGTTAAATAGGAAAAGCACCAAGGATGTCATGGGACACCTGATGGAAAAAGAAGGTAGGCTGGTCATGGAGGGAAAGCAAGAGATAAGTGATGGACAACACAACATATGTGGCTTTACTGTATCCACACAATATCAGAAGACATAGAAGAAGGCTTCCCACCATTTGGTAGAACTCCTCCCCAAACCTCCATGAAGGATCTAGGGAAGGACGTGGACAACAGCAAGTGATGAACATCTGTGAATGGCATGTGGTCTACACCAGCAGTGGCAAACTCAAATAGAAAAGGTCCTTGTGGTTCACACAGTGACCTAAGAAGACTACAAATTGACATTATTTTGTACTGCATTTTTATGTATTTTGCTAAACATTTCCCAGTTACATTTCCATTGGGTTCAGTGTGTATGTACTCGGCCTGAGCCAAGTTTGACACCTCTGTTATAAACCACTGAAGGGGGTAACTGCATTGATGACATCATAACTCCATCAATATATTAAAGGATATTTGTATCACACAGAAAAAGCTCAAATCTTTTATGCAGAGATATATAGAGAGATGCAGAAAGGTTGGCAATGTTATATTTTTATGCTTTAACTCTTCACTATTATTCATAAGGACTCGCTAAAAATTTAAAATAAAACCTACAGTAGACTTTGATCACCACCTTGTGTGATATCTTTACCAAATGCCACCTCAAACAGCTACCATTGTGTAAAGAAATTAAACTGCTTGAATTTTCTTAATATCTGAGTGTGCCATATCACGTTGGTGACCTTGCATTGATAAATTATTTGGAAGGAAAATTATGTAGGATATAAGATTGTAGGTTTGGAATTTCTTAAAGCAGGCACTGGAAAGTATCCAAACTGTTATGGCTGACATAATACATGGAAAACTGAAACAATCGTTGGGTTAAGTACTGATTCAAATGTGGCTCATAAGATATAAAAGTAAATAAAACAGCACCAAATTACTGTTGATCAACAACCATAAGGATGCTTTCTACAATCTATTAACCAATCAGTCAACAAACATTTGTTAAGCTACATTTATATGCTAGGCACTGGGGATAGAAAGACAACAATACCCATAAGGAGCTTACATGCTCTCAAAGAAGACAATGTGTACCCATATACAAAATACACATAAAGCAGAGAAGAGGTAGGCTTGGCAATAAGGGAAGTATCAATAGTTAGGGGGGAACCAGGAAAGATCACAAGAGGAACTTTAAAGGAAACTAGTGACGACAATTATACAATGTTAAATAAATCAGTAAATAAATCTCCACATATTAAATGAGAAACTTTACACGACTGAAACCAATAATTTTTTTTAAACCAAAGCAGAAGAGGTACTTCAAGAACCTACTATCTCTATCTAAATTCACTTTTTTTACATGCATTTATTTAATTTTTAGTTCTTGGAATAAAACTAGCACATGAAACTACTAACCTATTAAGTACAATTTGCTATTCCTTTTAAATACATAATAAAATTACCACATAATTTTTAAAATTTTCTTTCCTTACCCCCCCATCCTAGATATGATGACTACCATTACACCCAAATAGGGTGGTGTGTGTGTGTGTGTAAAGTTATTCTAGGGGTAGCTAGGTGGTGCAGTGCACAGAGCAATGGCCCTGGAGTCAGGAGGACCTGAGTTCAAATCCGGACTCAGACCAAACACTTAACACTTACTAGCTGTGTGACTCTGGGCAAGTCACTTAACCCCAACTGCCTAAAGAAAAAAAAAGTTATTCTATAAATACTTCCATTTATCTGTTCTTTCTCTGGATGCAGATAGTGTTTTTCTTCATATTCCCTTTATGACCCGGCAATACCACTATTAGGTATAATTCCAAAGATGACTAGGAAAGAAGGAAAAGAACCTATATGTTCTAAAATGTTTATGGCAGCTCTCTTTGTGGTGGCAAAGAACTGGAAATTTCAGGGATGCCTTCAATTGGTGAATGAATGAACAAGTCGTGGTATATCACTGTGATGGAATACTACTGTGCTTTAAAAAATGATGAGCTCAATGATTTTTGAAAAACATGGAAAGACTTGCATGGAATAATGAAGAGCAAAATAAGTAGAACCAAGATAACATTGTATACAGTAACAGCAACATTGTTTTAAGAATGACTGAGTGATTAAGTCGTTTTGACTATTGCAAATATCCAAATTAACTTAATTCACTTTTAATCTATTAGATGAATCAGTTATGGGGAAAAAATGAGTTAAAACTAATGGACATACTCAATCTATTGTACCACCAAGACATTAAAAGAATTGGTGGATGGCTTCCAATAAAGCAGACAGATTTGCTATAGAAATTTTTTCGGAAGTTAAGAGATAGATTCACACAGAAGGTGTCCGATGGAGTAACAATGTGTACTGGCAAAGAAACAGTCACGCATCAATGGAATCATAAATCCACCAAAGCATACAATGTAAGACAAACAAATGATTTTTTGAAAGACTGATTAACAAAGAAGTGTTCTTTACATAGTTCTGTAAATAATGCTAAATATCGTTCTTCTCTTTGGAAACTTGGAAGCAAAACTGATTGGGACCAGTGAGGCACTAAGAAAAAGGCCAATTCTTTTCCAATTGACTGCCAAGGCATTCCACGTTTCAGCTATTCAAGACTCCACTGAGGAGACCAAGAAAATATTTATATTTTCCACCGTTCTTGTAATGAAACAGTTCAGAATTGTCTCAGTTGATTTAGCACCAATCTGAGTCAGTCTTTAGACATTTGTCCAAGTAACTGGACCCAGAATACCTAGTGAAGCCTTGTCACAAATGACAGGGTTATTCTTCATTCTTTTCAGTATGTTTGGGTCTAGAAGTGATGCTGAACAGACAATAGATAAACAAGCCAGACCCACTGAATTGTAACACCGAGAATATTAAACAAACCTCATAGTCTGATATAATTTGCTAAAGTACGAACCACCAAGAGGAACACGCCAGGATGTCCAACAAACAAAAAGGATTATAGTGAGTAGAGAGATAGAGATCAAAAGATTCTAGCTTTATATTCACAAAATGAATTGTCATATTTAGCATTTGGTCATAGAGTGGATTATACCATACACAGACAACATTTCTCAGTTCTCAGGCATGGCGTAGCTTCCATTGTGAATTAATGAAATAGTATTCTGGTTTATAAACGCATTCCAGTTGAGTATCTTTAGCATTAATCCATTCCCAAAGACTTAATAAAACTTGATAAAATTCAGTCTCTGAACCAATACTATCAAGATTCTAGACAATGGTGACCTCACCATTGTAACCTAACGGGAAACAACTGACAAACCTGGCTGAGGAAAATAATGATGTGAGCTAATAATTTGAGGATGAGTCCCAGTCCAAGGTTCAAGATTCTAGAAGCAATTATATATATATATATATACATATATATATATATATATATATATATATACACATATATATATATACATATATATGTATATATATATATACATATATATATATACACACATATATATATACATATATATATATATATATATATGTATATATATATACATATATATATGTGTATATATATATATATATATATACGTATATATATATACACACGCACACATATAGTATGAAAGATAATGCTTCTGTGTTAGGTGGGCCAACGTCCCCTAACTCTCCAATGAATTGGCATGCATACATCATACAATTCTTGTTTTCCTGACTCAGAATTTCTTTGACATAATACACCACAAATTCAACTCCATTAATGTAACACCAGCTAAAATGAAGAAACTTGCCCACTTCACTTAGATTTAGTGACAGAGGCAGGGCAACATAAAAATGACAATGATTCCCAAAACATTTTCCTGTATCGCATTAAAAATGTTATGAGATTTGCTATGGACAAAACATTCCTCATGCAATGAAAATTTTAACTAAATGAAGAGCAAATTAAATAGTTTTCTTAAGAAACTTTTCCCCTAGAATTTTACTGGCCAAGACCTCTGGTTATTAGCAATCACTGTTGTCTTTAGTCAAAATCATTTCATTTGGTCAAACAACATAGAATTTCTGTAATTTCCAAAACACATCAGCATTTGGAAAGAGGGCTAAACTCACCAATACTGGGATAACCAGGTGTAGAAGGATCTCCTCCAGGATTCAGTGAAACCACGAAAGGGCTGTGGCTAAGGTTGGTAGTCTTTGGTAAATCGCAAGGATCAACATAAAGAAGAATGCCTCCAAACCCAGCTTTTTCCAGCAGCGAAAGCTAATGAGGGAGATGAGAACAACGATGCAAAAATATGACTACTTAGAACATCTTTAAAAGCATTAAAGGTAAATGAGATGCAAAAAAGGACTACGTTCATAATTATTAATAGAATTATAGGCTCACAGGATGTTAGAAATAGAAGGAAACTTACAAATCTTTTAATTAAGGGACCTCAAACCCATAGTCCATACTTTGGAGTTTTCTTGGCAGAGATAATAGAGGTTTGCCATTTCCCTCTCCAGCTCATTTTACAGATGAGGAAACTGACACAAACAGGGTTAAGTGACTTGCCCAGGGTCACTTAGCTAGCAAATGTCTAAGGCCAGATTTAAACTCAGGTAGATGAGTCTTCCTAATGCAAAGCCTGGCACTCTAGCCATTGTGCTACCCACCTGCTCCCATCATTCAACCAGTTCCAAATCCAGATCACACCTGTACCTTTTGGCCAGGAGGTTAGTATAGAAATAAGGTATTCAATAATAGAGAAATCTAGTATCCAGACAGATGGAAGTAGTTGCGACCTGCCCTGGTCAGTTCACAGATTTAGAGCTGGAAGGGGCCTCAAAAACCACTGAGTATAACTCTCTCATTTTACAGATGAGGAAATTGAGGCAAATAGAAGTTAAGTGACTTGCCCAGGATAAAAGAATCAGTTTCTGAAGCTGGATTCACACTCAAGTTTTCCAGACTACAAGTCTAGCACTATGCCCCCTAGTTGCTATACATGTTGGGTATTAAGTCATTTAGAGGCACCATATTGAAGAAATGATTGAATAAATGATGGAATAAAACTGTTAATGCATCTTGCTTGTCCACCTACAAAAAGAGCTTCTCTCCACATACACTCCTCCCAACCTGCCTTTTTCCTCCTTTCTAGGACACTGTTATGGGGAGAATAACAACAGATGTACTACCTCCCTCCCAAGGCAACACTGAGGAAGGCACTTTGTAACATATGAAGGGATTGATAAATTGATAGAGGAATTTTCCTAGGCTGATAAAACCACAGGTCCATGCCGTATTCCTGTTACAGAGGTGTTTATATGTTCATGTATAATAAGATATTAAAATTTTAAATTTTAAAACAATCTGCCCACCCCTCTAGGAAAGAACAAATACCCATTTTACCTTATTTTCCTTCAACTTTTGTGAAATATGTAATCTATTTCAGCTGAAAAAAAAATCTGTCTTTGCTTCAAAGATTAATTCATTCAATCTAAATTAATTCATTCATATTAAAGAAGGGGATGTGAATATGTGGGAGGAAAAACAAGAACAATATGTGCCTGTGGGTGTGTTTGCGCATGCATGTGTAGGTAAGAGGGGTCTGCAATTATCACTGACTCCCTTTCTCTTGATACAGTCATGTCTTTGGTGGAGCAGCTGATTACTTATTAGCTGGTCAGTTTGATGAGTGACATCCACTGCTGTGTGGGAAAAGGTGCACTGCCCCTAGTACTAGCATGAGCACTTGGCACAGAGCTAGCCAGGAGTGATGGTCTGAAATGTTGACTGTTCAATGCCAGTGCTTGACCTTCAGGTGGCATGGTGAGGAAGCATATCCCAATGTAGCAAAAAGTGTTGCCCCAAAGGCTGCTCCTGGGGTAAGGAGAGAATGATGTATCTGTATGTTCTACGTCCACATCTCGTTAAGTTGATTTTTATTTCACTTTTTTTTTCATTATCCTTGACAGAGAGAGAGAGAGAGAGAGAGAGAGAGAGAGAGAGAGAGAGAGAGAGAGAGAGAGAGAGAGAGATGTGCAGCAGAGGTATCTTGCTTTCCATCATTTCCGTGCACTCGGGCATGAAGCGGGATGTGTCCTCTGCCTACCATCCTGTCTTACTTAATACAGCACCTGGGGGTGAGGGGGTGGGGCAGAGGTCAACCAGTGACTGCAGTAGTCTCCTGGCCTACCATTTCAGCACAAGAAACTTATGAACTGTGCCCCTAGACATTCGGGATGGGCATATATTTCAACCCATCCTCCATTCTATTACCAATTATGTTTTCCTTAAACACAGATCTGACAATGTCACTTTTTTTAAAAAACTCAATAAAATCCAGTGGCTTCCTACTGCCTCTGAAATAATATAAACTATTCTGTTCTGTTTTTAAAGTCCTTCAAAGCATGGCCCCATACTATTTTTCCACCCTTATTGCGAATTACTCTCTCTCTTCCACACTGTCATAGAGCCCAATTGGCTCTGTCTTTGCACTGGTTGTCTGCCATGCCTGGAATCCTCACCTCTAGTTCACAGAATCCCTTGATACCTCCATGTTGCATTTCAACCAGCATCTTCTAGATGAAGCCTTTCTTTGTCCCTTCAACTACTAGGACCTTCCCTCCTAAACTCCTTGTATTTAACTAATTTAAGTTTATTTCCATTTATTCTCATTATATGTAGTCTTTCCATCATGGGGTGATTGATTTTTTACTCAATTGTAAGCTCCTTAAGTGCAGAGACCACGTCTCATTAATTTTCATTCATTCATTTTCAATTCAACAAATAACTACTAAACATCTGCTGTGGGCAAGGCACTGAAGGACACACATTGTAACTTTGGTCTTCAAAGATCTTGCAAATGGCAGATGTTCAGCAGATAAACCAGCCTTCTTACTGTCCTTTACACAAGGCTCCATCTCTGGCGTCTTTGCATCGGCTGCTTTCCATACCCACTATGCGTGCCCTCCTCAACTCTGTCTCTTCTAATATCTACTTACCATCAAAGCTCAGCAAGAAGCCTTTCCTGTTGGCTCTGATGATGTCTCCTCACACCACCACCTGCAGCCATTATCCAGTATTTTGTATCTACTTATGCATGTATCATCTCTCCAGACACAATATAAATTCCTTGAGTGTAAAAACTGTAGTTTGTTTTTGTATCCCTAGCCCCTGGAACAGTAAATGGCACATATCAGGTGCTTAATACTCATTGATTCATTAATTGTTCAGGCAATAATTTTGACATTATTTATTTCATTTACAAGTTAATCCTTTTCTAATTAGATTTGTTATTTTAAAAAAAAACACTTCATTTTCTAAAGAAGAGTCAGAGCGCACTTTAAGTGACCAGGAAACATTGGAATGCTCTCTTTCTTCCTTTGAAATTGCTTTCAGAAAGAGAAATGGCATGCAAATATCAGATGCCATCATCTTCTTTTCTTCTCAGGGAAGAACAGGCTAGCTGGAATAACTATGTTCAGCTTGAGGGGAAGAGAGAAGTCATTTATGTCTACATTTCAAAGAATTCTGGTTCTTTAACAAAAATGTTGCAAAAATCCATTTGGACTCTGACAATTTCTGAACATTAGATTAAATGTCTAATCAACCCTGCTATGTTTCCCATCCTGAATGTCTAGGGGCATAGTTCATAAGTTTTTTGTGCTGAAATGGTAGCCCAGGAGACTACTGTGGTCACTGGTCGACCCCCACCCCACCCCTCACCCCCAGGTGCTATATTAAGTAAGACAGAATGGTAGGCAGTGGACACATCCCGCTTCATGCCCGAGTGCACAGATATGATGGAAAACAAGATACCTTTGCTGCACATCTGAAAACAACCTGCAGTCTAATGAATAGCATTACAGAACATTGTACAAACAAGACAGAACACAGCAAGGAGTGAAAAATTGAAAAAGGAGGAAACATTAAGACAACTGATTTTATGATTAACAGTTTCTTCTCATGAAGGTTCAACAAGGTGGAAAATGTATTTAATATTCCCCCATAAAAAGATTAGTGATTCCCCAAATAGATACGGGCTATCTCATTTGGATACATCCGCTTCTATTAGCACAATAATATTTAAACCTCCATCCTATCTTTTCAGGGTATTTAGAGAAGCTTCTGAACATGACAATGAGGATCAGATGAAGTCAAAGTGTTTTGTTATTTCTTCTTCCCTTCCCATTGTATACATTTTGCTCAGGTAGTGACAGCAGGTTTGTTTGAAAGAGAAAGCAATTTGTTATAGTACGGGCAGCTTTAATAAATGGAAATTTCTACAACAGAACATTGTGAAATGTTTAAATATTAACCAGACATATTGCTCATTCCCTCCACTAGATTTCAGAAACTTAATACAAATTAAGTGCACACTTTATTGCTAGATCTTGCTTACCAGGGCTAAGAAATCCACAATGTTCAATTCTAATTAAAAATGAAATTGAACTGTAATTCCCTGGAAACAAAAGCTGATCAGACTCAATAAGCTTTACTTAATTTATTTCAGAAACAAAATAATTGAATTGCTTCTAGTCAAGGACAAAAAAATGCTTACACTGTTATGAGCGCATGGCCCCAAAATCTTTTACATTTCTATTGTATTCTCAAATTGTCACAGTAAACTAAGTCTTTGAAAAGTTACTTGTAAAGTCTCAGTTGAATCAGCATTCAACATTTAAAACAAATAATTAAATAATAATGAAGACCAAGAAGAAAAAGTCACTCTGGAGAACATGACTATGCTGTGTAGCAATATATGTAGAAAGAAGATAACCAAAAATATTTCTTACCTCTTCATATGTATATAGGAAGTTTTATAAGTTTCCTGATTTTGGATGCATTTTAGATTAGGAATGGGACAGACACCTTAAGGATCATCTATTCAACTTCTTTATTGTACATATGAGGAAAGGCTGTTACTTACTCAAAGTTATATAGCTAGTTATGGTCAGACTTATAAGACCCCTGAACTCCTAATTTGACAGAGTAAGGCTAATGCTTTGTATCCCATCGGAATGTAACTACACATTACCAGAACAGTAATTTCGTTGTTGTTCAGTCATTTCAGTTATGTCCGACTCTTCCCGTACCCATTTGGGGTTTTCTTGGCAAAGATGCTGCCATTTTCTTCTCCAGCCCATTCTACAGATGAAAAAACTGAAGCCAACATGATTAAATGACTGGCCCAATGTCACACAGCTAGTGTGCATTTAGGATTGAATTTGAATCCGAGGCCAAATTTGAACTCAGGTCTTCCTGACTCCAGACCC